ATAGGGAGCGGGTGCAGATTCTCTTTTCCACACCTCCCAAGCCTCCAACTGGCTCCTGCTTTTTGATCAATCCTATGAGGACTTCGCTGAGAACCACCAGGGTCTTTAGAGAGCTCTCTGAAGCCTCTGTGAAAGCTAAAAGGGGTTCTTGCATTCCCAGACTCAGGGAATACAAGACTGCAGGGAGGGAGGGGGCTGACCCTCAGCATCCCTGAAACATCCTTTGTGGACTCCCGTCCCTACCACCTCTTTGAGTTCTCAGACCTTGGCACTGGGCTGGGATCTTCCCAGGGCCACCAGCCCACCCAGCCCCAGAGTGTATCCACCAGAAGCCCTGCTCAGAAACTGGCCTGAGCTTGGTAATAGTTCTGACTCTTTCTGAACATGCTGAGTTTCATGCCTCACAAGTGAAGTGTGATAACAAGAACTTGGAGAGGATCTCAAGCAACCAAAGGGCAGGGCATGGTGGCTGGTGCCTGTAATCCCGGAACTCTGGGAGGCTGAGGTGGGAGAGACGCTTGAGGCAGGAGGATTGCTTGAGGCCAGAAATTCAAGGTTACAGTGAGCTACAAGCATGCCATGGCACTACAGCCTGAGTGACAGAGCAAGATCCTGTCTCCAAAACACAAATAAAAAAAGTAAAATAGTCCAGGTGCAGTGGATCACGCCTGTAATCCCAGCACTTTGGGAGGCCAAGTTGGGTAGATCACGAGGTCTGGAGTTCAAGACCAGCTTGACCAAGATAGTGAAACCCCGTCTCTACTAAAAATACAAAAATTAGCCAGGCACGGTGGCAGAAGCCTGTCATCCCAGATACTTGGGAGGCTAAAGCAGGAGAATCACTTGAACCAGGGCAGCAGAGGTTGCAGTGAGCTGAGATCGAGTCGCTGCACTCCAGCCTGGGCGACAAAGTGAGATTCCATCTCAAAAATAAAAATTAAAATTAAGCAACCAAAGGGATATGAGTTTGAGAAACAGCTCAAGGCTGCATCCTCAGAGAAGTGGACGTAACATACTTTCTCAAAAAAGCAGAAAGTGCAAGAATGCCCACTCAGCCCAGAGGAGGACATGATATGAGAGACCGCGTAGAACAGAACTTTCCCCTTGCGAAGATTGTGGAAGGCCTTGGATTTGGTGGGGAGGTGAGAGTAGAAAGATAATTGGAGAGAGTGAAGAAAGGATTGCTAAGTAGTTTTTTCTGGCAGCATTTTTAAAAGTTCAGGTAGTTTAGAGATGGCTGAGGCAATGCTCGAAGAGAGCGATATGGGTGGGCTTTTTCTTCGCAGCAATCTCTCTGGCTCTGAGTGCCCCCGTCAAATTCCACCCTTGTATACTTGAAGGCACATGAAAGTGATAAGGAAAAGGAGGGAGAGAGGATAGCAGAGAAGGAAAGGTGAGAGAATGACATTGGTCGTTGCTGGGGCTCACTCCAGTGTCACCGCAGGCCGCCCACCTGCAGGAATCCTTGCAAAGTCTTCCCGGGCCTGTAATATGGAACTATATTCAGGAAAGCAGTGTGGCCTAGAATTTAGAACATCGGCCTTGGAGTCAGACGCAAGCATCCCAGCATTGTTTATAGGCTGAACAACCCTTGCTCAAAGAGCACTTATCTTCCGGGACCACGGTTTCCTCATCTAGAATGGGAGCTCCATGAAGACAGGGACTTAGTCTGTCTTATTCTCTACAACAGCCCTAGAGCCTTGCATTGCACCAGGAAAGACATATTTGCTGAATGAATAAATACATCTATAAAATGAAAATAACCTTATTACTCCACCAAAGGCAGTAAAATCGCGATAAGGAGCATGGATGCTGGAGCCGGACTCCCTGAATTTGAATCCGGACTCAGACACTTCCATTACTGCCACGTTGGCAGGTTAGGGAATCTTTCTAAGCCTCTCTGTGCCTCAGTTTCCTTGTCTATGAAATGGGGGTGGTAACAGAACACCTACATCAAAAGGTGATTGTGAGGGTTAAAACAAGTTAATAATGTGAAATGCATAAAATAGTGCCTGCTTATATATTAGCTCACTATGGCTATTGTTATAAGGATTCATTGACTACATCCAGAAAAAAATGCTCAGCATTTTATGTTTTATTCTAATGCTTCTAAACTATTCAAATCTCTCTCTCTTTTTCTTTTTTGTTTTTTGACGTAGTCTTGCTCTGCCAGCCCCCCTGGCTGATGTGCAGTGGTATGATCTTGGCTCACCGCAACCTCCACCTCCTGGGTTCAAGCAAGTCTCATGCCTCAGCCTCCTGAGTAGCTGGGACTACAGGCATGCACCACCATCCCTGGCTAATTGTTGTATTTTTAGTAGACATGGGGTTTCGCCCTGTTGGCCAGGCTGGTCTCGAACTCCTGACCTCAAATGATCTGCGCACCTCAGCTCCCCAAAGTGCTGGGATTACAGGCATGAGTCACCACGCCTGGCCTCAAGTCTCTTATAATAAAATGTAATCAGGAATTATTATTAAATTTGTTTTTTTTTGAGACGGAGTTTTGCTCTTGTTACCCAGGCTGGAGTGCAAATGGCGCGACCTCGGCTCACGGCAACCTCCGCCTCCTGGGCTCAGGTAATTCTCCTGCCTCAGCCTCCCGAGTAGCTGGGACTACAGGCACGCACCACCATGCCCAGCTAATTTTTGTATTTTTAGTAGACAGGGTTTCACCTTGTTGACCAGAATGGTCTCGATCTCTTGACCTCGTGATCCACCCGCCTCGGCCTTCCAAAGTGCTGGGATTACAGGCATGAGCCACCGCGCCCAGCCTTATTAAATATTTTTAATATAAAAATATTTTTAAGCGGTTAGCTCATCACCTGCCACATTGTAAGCTCTTACTAAATGCTGGCTGCTGTTGTTGTTACTGAAAAAAAAAATCATTCTGATCTTACCAAGTCTGCCAGTTGATGATAAAGCCAAAAGTTTGTCCTCGGGATCAACTTAGAATAGGAGCAGGCAGTTGCAGGCTTTCACTGAAGAAGGATCCCCAGGAAAACTGCTGTTGGCATTGAATAGGATGAGAGTACTGGGAGCTGAGCTGGTTGTAATGTTTAGCCGCAGGCTAGAGAAACAGACTTGAACGGGAGAAAAACAGTGCCTGGAAGAAGCACATACAGTGAGTGGAACTAGCTGCAACGCACCAGACCAATTTCTTCTTCTTTACACTTTATTTCCGTTCCTAGTCAGAGGAACTGGTTCAATTCCTCAAGAAGTATTTACAAAACTTCGTTTTTGTGTTTTTGTTTTCTGGCACTGTCATCCGGGTTATGAAAAAAAGGAAAGCTCTTCAAGGCAGCCATAACTTGCGGAGAGAAGATGCTAAATCATGAGGCAAGATCATATACGATCACGTCTCAAAGTGTGCAGAACAAGTAACTGCTACAGTGAGTTAAGACAAGGGAGACCTGGGTTCATCTGTTCCCGGTCACATGCGTTCATTTACTGACTCATCATTTAATAGACACTAAGCACCCACTGCGCCAAAGGCCGTAAGAGACAGGGAGCTTGGGTTGGGTTCCCTTCCCTCAGGGAAGCTGAGCTTCCATGAGTTGGTGTCAATCTGCATGAGAACAGCTCCAGTATAGGGCAGAACATGATCATGCTTCACGAGGCCACAAAGGCGCTGGGTGTGGGCATTATCAGAGTTGCCTGGTTGAGTAGCCTGGTATGGCTTTTTGAGGGAGGTGGAACTTGGTTTGGACCTTGAAGGTGTGTTAGTATCTAAACAGATGGGGGTAAGGGATGGCACCCCAAGCAAGAAGACACAGGAGGAAGCTCACAGAAGCAGGGATGAGCGTGTCTGTTACAGTGATTCATCAATACACCGAACACACTTTTTTATGTGTTTGACAGACGAACATGTCATCACTCTTTTCCTGAAACAGTTTGTAGTTTAATGTGGGAGGCAAACACACAAAGAAAAACGTCTATTACAGTGTGGGAAGTGTGTCAGCCATGGTGAGTGTAAAATTGCAGGCAGAAGGTTCTCCCAGGAATGAGCTGGGGGCTCAGTGGGTGAGGAGGGAGCCCGGGCGCACAAGCAGAAAGGGCTGCAAAGGCCCCTTAGGAGGCACCGTGGAGAAAAGGGTGCAGGGGCTGCCGGCGAGTGATGGGAACTGAGGTAGGTAGATGGGTAGAGGTCAGATCATAAGAGGCACGTTAAGGACGTTCTGTGCAATTTGGGCTTTCTTCAGAGGACAGGGCAATCGCTGGAAGTTTTCCTAGGAAAGGACATATGACATTTGCATTTTGAAAAGATAATACTAGCCTTGTCTTACATTATTTGCACTATCTAGGGCCCACTATGATTTAAACATCACACCTCGCATTGACGTTTAGCATCTCTGGAAAGTTGCATGCACACTCGCCCGAAGTCCGTTGAGTACTGGAGCAGAAAGACGCCCCGTCTCCAGGGCCAAGCTCTTCACCCTTACACCCTGCTACCTCTGCAGCCTGGAGGAGGGAGGCCAGGGAACGGCGAGGAAAGAGGCAGGAGCCGAAGTCAGAGTGAAAAATAAAGAGGCCAGAACTAAAGCAGTAGGGGTGAGAATACAGGGAAAGAAGCAGAATCCCGAGATTTCGAGTATGTTTGTGGGGAGAAATGTGGAAGGAGGACTGGAGTTCCCAGGTCCTGCTTCTCTGAGTGTGTCTCTCCTGGTGCTGGCACCAGTTGAGAGGAGCTATGGGAAGTAAAGGAGGTGAGGAGATGGGAGACGATGAGTTGAGGAAGCTGTGGGTCTCCATGGCAGCGATCCTAGTGTGGAGTGGGGTAGACGCAGCTGGAGCTTAGGCGCCAAGAATGGGCTGGAAAGAGAGACTAGGAAAGCTGAGGGATCAGCCGGGGCAGGGGGGCTGATGAGGCCATGGAAAGCTGAGATGAAAGGATCACGTATGGACTTGAATTTGAAGACTGCAAGGAGTTGCGGAGGCCTTTTAATTAGGGAAGCAGCATGGTCAATAACAGCTTTTCAGATGTCAAGCCTCAAACTCAAATATCCGAGAAGTGACATGGAACTTTATTTCTGACCTCATTCCATTCTCTGGTGAAAGCAGCACCTCAGTAAGGATGGGCCGGTCCCCCATGCTCAAGGTGGAGCCCAAGTTCTGCGGGGCTTGGCAGGCACTGGGGGAGGGAGCTGGTTCCTGACCATTTTCCCCTCGTGCCCGGGGACATCCTCATCCTGTGGGTCTGCTCTGCAAGGGCCGCAGCCACAGCGCCTGGTGATGGTGACAAGGTCCTCCCTGGTCTGGAACCCCAGTATTCACAAGCACTTGTCTCTGCTTTGTCCTTTGTGTCGCCTGGGGATACAAGGATGAAGGAGAAAAGGAATGCTGGGAGGTGAAAGAGAGGTGGGAAATAATAATATCCTGAATATTATCCTGCCCCTGAATTAAAATCATATTTTGGGAAAACCAGGTCACAACACTGGACAAGGTCTAACGGAGGAGGGGGAGGACAGAGAAACAGGGGGGCCAGCATGGGGACAGTTGCCATGACGGCAGTGTTGTGTGGGACTTTGTAACTTACTGTGCACTTTTACCACTCCTTTCATCCCCACGGTGCCTCTGGGAGGTGGCTTTCCTAGGCCCATTTTATAGACAGAGCAACCAAGAGAAGTTAGATCAATGAAACAAAATCATCTGGCTAGAAAATACAAGAGCTTGGGCTTGCTCAAGCCTGTAATCCCAGCACTTTGAGAGGCCGAGGCGGGCGGATCATGAGGTCAAGAGATCGAGACCATCCTGGCCAACATGGTGAAACCCCGTCTCTACTGAAAAATACAAAAATTAGCTGGGCATGGTGGCACACACCTGTATCCCAGCTACTCGGGAGGCTGAGGCAGGAGAATTGCCTGAACCCAGGAGGCAGAGGCTGCAGTGAGCTGAGATCGCGCCATTGCACTCCAGCCTGGCACCTGACAACAGAGACTCTGTCTAAAAAAAAAAAAAAAAGCTCAGGCTTAATACCTTGGTCTTCCAATAAAAACCTTTAAGAGAAAAAAAAGAATCCCTTCTTCCAGTGCATTCATCACCCACTGCACATCCCACGACACCAGGCTGCCTCTCAGGAATAAGGTGTTCTAAACATCAGACCTAAACGTGCATTTGGAGGCTCTGTCTTCAGAGAAGATCCCACTGGGAAGCACGTCTGCACCACCTTAAAGGATTCCTCTGGGCTTTGGAAGGGACTTCCCACAGAGAACTGCTTCCAATCATAACACATCGAGCCTTCTGCAAGGTCCCTGTGTAACTTAACTGTCGAGGCACAGCAGCAAGCCGGCTCCAAAAACCATCCTCTGTTCACGCCTAATGAATCCCTGGTATACACTGTCAGAATTTAAGAGGCAGGTGTCACTCCGCTGATGCTTTGAATAGGAACTTGTTGAAATCATGTACCCTCTCCAGGAACAGTTTTTCCAAAGAGTGCTTTATAATTTTTCATCGGTAGCAGTATTGAGGGGGTGGATTCAGAGGAAGAAGGAGGACGTACCGATGGTGGAGGCGGGGAAAGAAATGCCATCCTGGATCAGAGTTTCGAAGGTCAAAGGAGAGGGGTCAGCCTCGCCTCTGGAGATGAGAGACCGGAAGAGAATGCTGTGAAGGTAAAGGAAAGAAAGAAATTGGCTGTGGTAGGTGGAGCCCTCTCTATAGAGACACACAGAAGAGGTTTCTATTTCCCCAGATGATAGCTGGTAGTCGAGGCTTCCTGGCCTCGCTGTCGTCCTCCGCAGGGATCTCCACGTCAACCAGGCCACTCCTCCTTCAGCACCCTCGCTCCACCCTTTCTCTAGCTTATGCAACTAAATATCTGTACATTTGTTCGTCTGGTTTACTCTCGTTCTGGATCACTCTCTACCCTTGGCTCTACTGCATTGATCAGGGTCAAATTTAAGTGTCGGATGCCCTGTAAGTCTGACCTGAAACTCCAGCCCACGATGGTTCTTATTGCCTGGACCAACAGTTCTCAAACCCTAGCATGCGTCAGAATCACCCCGGGGGTATTTCAAAACACAGGTTGCCGGGACCCCCAGCGTTTCTGATTCAGTAGATCTGGGCCAGGGCCTGAGAATTTACCTTGCTAATAAGTTCGCAAATGATGCTAGCTGACGCTTCCTGTCTGGGAACCACTCACGTGTACCATTCATTTAGGCTTAATCAGGCATTGCCCTGTGCTGATACTGCGACTGAGTATCCAGATGCAGCTGTGAACACTTCAGAGGTGATGATGTGCTGGGTAGCGGGCTGTACCCCCCACAGGACCTAGCTAGCATACTCAGAGCAAGTACCAAACCCAATATCATGTATTCATTGTGGTGAAAAGTCAGTATTGGTTTGGCGTAAAATTAGGAAGACAGTAGTTTGTCCACAGGAAACTTCCACTTTCCCTCCTCCATTTTTCAGCCAACTTCTGTGTCCCTCACTCTTCCTCCTCCAAGCCGACCCACACCCCCCTACACATAGACTTGCCCTAAATACACAGACCGCTCGCATCTGTCCCTCAAAGTTTACAGGCAATTCTCCTAAGAAGCTTGACTGAGAAGAAGAGAAGTTAGGTAAGGCATTAGCTTTCAAGAGGTGTGAGGCCCCAGAATGCCTTTTTATTTTATTTTATTAAGTTAAGAAATAGTTGTTGAGCTTATTTATATACTGATGGAGAGAAGCCAGCGGAGGGCAGGGTGGTGCCGGTGTGGGAATGAGGGAATAATGACAGGTGGGATCCACAGTACAGGGAGAAGCATCCACTTAGGAGCAGGGACACCTCTCCCACTGTAGATGGAAAAAGGAAAAGATGGTTCCATGCAGGAATAATGAGGCTTTCAACAGTAGGTGACTCCCAGCCCTAACATCTTGTGATTCCATGAAATTAAATTGCCACGGTGTCAGAGGCTTAATATGTCACCTCTCCTGGCAGAGCATTAACCCAAGGAAATGAATGTTTCATGAGAGGCTCTTGGGCTATGAGAGGCCTGCCAGTGGGACAGCAGGGCCTTCCCAGCGCCTTGAATACCTGTTGCCTGGCTATGCAAGGTGGAATTGGGACAATGGGATAAATATATCCAACTGTGACGACGTAAGAACTACAGCGAGGCCACAGAGCTGATAGGTTCTGGAGCCGGATTTAGAACCCTGCTTCCCTCATGCCTGGCCGTCATCCGCCCACTCATATTCTGACCATCTGTAATTGCAAGGGAGGGCTGCATCTCTGGGGCTCTAAGAAATACCTGATAGTGATAGAAATGATAACAGCAGCCGGGCGTGGTGGCTCACGCCTGTAATCCCAGCACTTTGGGAGGCTGAGGCAGGTGGATCACGAGGTCAACAGATCGAGACCATCCTGGTCAACATAGTGAAACCCCGTCTCTACTAAAAATACAAAAAATTAGCTGGGCATGGTGGCGCGTGCCTGTAATCCCAGCTACTCAGGAGGCTGAGGCAGGAGAATTGCCTGAACCCAGGAGGCAGAGGTTTCGGTGAGCTGAGATCGCGCCATTGCACTCCAGCCTGGGTAACAAAAGTGAAACTCCGTCTCAAAAAAAAAAAAAAAAAAAGAAATGATAACAGCAATAATAATTTATCAAATGCCTCCTCAGTTGAATTAGCATATAAGGTGCCTGGCACATCATGCCAAAACCTGGATCATACATAGGAAGAAGTCAACCAATGTAAGCCGTCATCCTCCTTCTCCTCTTCTTCCTCCTCCTTCTCATCATCACCATCTTCACTGTGTGCCAGTCACCACACTAGGTACTTTATATATTTTTTAAGTATATATTTTCCTGGTTTCAAAAGTAACCAGTATTTAAAAGTTCTAACAAGAAATGCATAACATAAAAAATCCAAGTGTGGGCCGGGAGCGGTGGCTCACGCCTGTAATCCCCAGCACTTTGGGAGGCTGAGGAGGGCGGATCACTAGGTCAAGAGATTGAGACCATGGTGAAACCTCATCTCTACTAAAAAATACAAAAATTAGCTGGTCATGGTGGCGTGTGCCTGTGATCCCAGCACTTTGGGAGGCCGAGGCGGGTGGATCATGAGGTCAAGAGATCGAGACCATCCTGGCCAACATGGTGAAACCCCATCTCTACTAAAAAACACAAAAATTAGCTGGGCGTGGTGGGGCGCGCCCGTGGTCCCAGCTACTTGGGAGTCTGAGGCAGGACAATTGCTTGAACCTGGGAGGCGGAGGTTGCAGTGAGCCAAGATCGCACCACTGCACTCCAGCCTGGCGCCTGGTGACAGAGTGAGACTCTGTCTAAAAAAAAGAAAAAAAAAAAAAAAAAAAATCCAAGCGTGGTGCACTAGAAAGAGGGAAAGCACATAAAAAGATTGCCGACCCATGCTCTATATTCAAGTCATAGAAAACTCAGGGCCGACTGTCCATGTTTACTTTCTGGTTCTTCTAATACCCACTGGGTGGGCTTGGGCATGTTATTGAACTCTTCTGTGCCTCAGTTTTCTTATTGGTTAAATGAGAGCAATAATAGTTCTAACATTTAGTGTTCTTGGGAAATTTAAATACGATGCTATATACACAAGGCCAGGAGCACGGCGCTCTGCATCTAGTAAGCAGTCCATTGGAAGCGGTTATTATTTATGTTACTTTTTAATAAACAAAATTCTCCACCATCCATATATCAGAAGTAACCCATGTTGACCTGGCGCGGAGGCTCACACCTGTAATCCCAGCTACTTGGGAGGCCGAAGCAGGAGAATCGCTTGAACCAGGGAGGCGGAGGTTGCAGTGAGCCGAGATCACATCACTTCATTCCAGCCTGGGCAACAGAGCAAGACTCTATCTCAAAAAAAAAAAAAAAAAGAAAAGAGAAAAGAAATAACCCATATTGATAGCTCATTGCATATTTTTCAGACCATCTATATGTATATCTATATGTACATTCTATGAGATCTAAAACGTATACACGATTTATATGTCTTTGTTCATTTGACAAATATTATGGATGATTCTTAAAACAATCTTGCAAAGTCCTTATTGATACATGGTTTGTTTCTATTATATTTCTTCTAAGGCTTCATCTTCACCTCCCAATGTTCAGAGAAAACCTCTGAAGACTGAAGTATGCGGCATGGATCAGCAACCTTTTTCTTTCTTTCTTTCTTTTTTGAGACTGAGTTTCACTCTTGTTGCCCAGGCTGAAGTGCAATGGTGTGATCTTGGCTCACTGCAACCTCCACCTCCAGGGTTCAAGCGATTCTCCTGCCTCAGCCTCCCTAGTAGTTGGGATTACAGGTGCCCACCACCACATCTGGCAATTTTTTAAAAAATTTTTAGTAGAGACAGGGTTTCACCATGTTGGCCAGGCTGGTCTTGAACTCCAGACCTCAGGTGATCCACCTGCCTCGGCCACCCAAAGTGCTGGGATTACAGGCATGAGCCACTGCGCCTGCTGAGTCAGCAACCGTTCTATGTGAAGGACCAGATAGAAACAGTTTAAGCTTTGCAGACCATATGGTCTCCGCTGCAGCTACTGAATGCTGTGTTTGTCGTGCAAAAGCACCCATTAACAATACGTGAACAAATGAGAGTCGCTGTGTTCCTTGAGACGAGGTCTTGCTCTGTTGTCATGCTGGAGTGCAGTCGTGCAATCATAGCTTCTTGTAACCTGAAACTCCTGGGCTCAAGCCATCCTCCTGCCTCAGCCTCCTGAGCAGCTGGGACTACAGGCATGCACCACCATACCTGGCTAATTTTTAAATTTTTTTTGTAGAAATGCAGTCTTACTATGTTGCCAAGGCTGTTCTTGAACTCCTGGCTTCAAGCGATCTTCCCACCTCTGCCTCCTGAAGCATTGGGATCACAGGTGTGAGCCACCACGTCCAGCCCCAGTAAAACTTTATGGAGATTGATAATTGATGTCCTATAATTTTCAGATGTCATGAAATACTCTTTTATTTTTTTTCCAACCACTATTTAAAGATGTAAAAATTATTCTGAGATTGCAGGCTGTGCTGTGCAAAAACAAATGGCAGGCTGGATTTGACCTGTGGGTCACAGGGAGCGAACTAGCTTGCCATTTTGGAGCCTGCTTGAAAATTAGCTGGGCAATGAAGTGTAGAAGTAACATCTTAATATAACATTTCTGCCTTTTCAGTGAGAAGCACCTTTTCCTCTTCGTGATCCCAGCACACCTATTAAAGTTCCCCTGAAGAATTAAAAGTCATTCCCTCCTTGGAGTCCTCTCAACCCTTCTTTTTTTTTTTTTTGAGATGGAGTTTCACTCTTGTTACCCAGGCTGGAGTGCAATGGCGCGATCTCTGCTCACCGCAACCTCCGCCTCCCGGGTTCAGGCAATTCTCCTGCCTCAGCCTCCTGAGTAGCTGGGATTACAGGCACGCGCCCCCATGCCCAGCTAATTTTTTGTATTTTCAGTAGAGACGGGGTTTCACCATGTTGACCAGGATGGTCTCGATCTGTTGACCTCGTGATCCACCCGCCTCGGCCTCCCAAAGTGCTGGGATTATAGGCGTGAACCACTGCACCCGGCCCAGCCCTTCTTTATAGTATATACTAAACACTGGATGTCCCCCCCATAACAAAATCCCTACAAAGCCTCAAACTCTTTGTGTGTTCAATTTACTGCTGTCCATCCAGAGCTAGACTAGTGCTTGGCAACTGGAAGGGTTGGGCTGAGCCACCAACCTTCCCCATCCAGAACTAGACTAGTGCTTGGCAACTGGAAGGGTTGGGCTGAGCCACCAAGCTTCCCCATCCAGAGCTAGACTAGTGCTTGGCAACTGGAAGGGTTGGGCTGAGCCACCAACCTTCCCCATCCAGAGCTAG